TTTATATTTATTGCAACAAAATTGTCTCTCATAAAAAGGATACTTGCGGGTAATTAAAAAATTATGAATGAATTTGATTTGAAGTGAATTAAAATTAAACAAGTTGAAAAGGTCTATTGGGTTCAATAGATACATGCCCCTTATTTCGTGTCTTTTTTTCTAGCAGGTGCATTAAATCAGGAAAAAGAAAAGAAAAGAAACGGTGGAGCGTTGCATGTAAAAGAAAAAGATACAACAATATAATTAAAGAAAAAGGTACGACATATTTGCACTGAATAAGATCCATTTTGTAGATAAAAAAGGAGGATAAGAGAGAACTGAGTTCCATTCCATGGCCCACTGTTGCAGAACCAAAGAAAAGGGAAAAGAAGTTGAAAGGGAGGCTCCAATTTCTAAAGTTTCGGTGGCCGAAAAGGCGCCAACCTCAACTTTCAAAGTTCTTCATCCTTGTCTTTCAAGCAAAAAAAAATAAAAATAAAAATAAAAATATCCCATCACTACCGTACCACAAACTCATCATTTCACGCGCCATTTTAATGATACTGATCTTAACCACACTTAAGTTGCGAATAAAAATAAAAATAAGACCAACAATTAAGATTAATTCTTGACATGAAGTGCTGTCTTACTGGTACATAATGAACTAATAATATTGTTTTGTTGATATAAGAGCAGTGTAAAAAATAATATTCTTGAAATTGAGCGAAAATAATATTTGAGCATGAATCGTTACTTATGGGAACGGGTTGACTGTGGTGGAAAAAGAATTTTTTTAAAAGATTAATCATATGCGTGCAAGTGGCAGAGACATTGGAAGTGGGACACATAATTTGGCGTGTTGAAAACAAAAAAACAAGAGGGAATGGCCCATATAATGTGTCGAGAAAGATGGCGACGTCAAAGCTGGACTCGTTCTCCGGTCAAAAGGTCAGACCCGAAATAGGGATTTCTTCTGCGTGTTTGGAGCCGAAATATGACTCAGGTTATATAAATTAGCTCGAATAACTAGCTATAAGTGTCAAGTAATCGGGGGAAAAAAATAAACTCAAACAAAAATAAATTTTTTTCTAACCCAAGGTTATATAAATTAATCTTAATGAATTAGAGTTAGCCCATTTAACTTATATTATTTTTACAAAAAATTTAAAAAACATAAAAAAATTTTGTGGATATAAACATATAACTTTTTTAGTTTATTCAATTCATATATTTTATATAAATATTATGGATTAATATTTTGATATATCTGAGATGAATTAGGAAAAAAAACCTATCAAATTGAAACTTATTATTTAAGTTTATTTTTTTAAATTCATAAAAAAATAAATTTTAAAAAAAGGATTGACAGGTTAGTCATTTAACTCATCAACCCTCAAAAATTAGATTAGAGTATGATTTTTTTAACGCATATAAAAATAAATTGACAATTCAATTTATATTTTTCCCAACTCATATAAGTTAACATTAGCCCACATTTCTAGATCTAGCGTGTCATCCTTGCCCATTTTCAAACCTTTCACAATCACAATACATCATCCCTTACCCTTAAAATTTCCCCACATTTTTTACATTAATTTATATAATAAATTTGTGAATTATTTTTCATATTAAAATGATACATAGGTAAAAATAAAAAATAATTTCTGCATTCAATTTTATTACTACTACTAGTACTATTACTTCATTTTTCTCTATTTTTAGAGATATTATCAATAGTGATACAACTATGTTATTATAAAAATATAAAAAGTCAAAATAATACGACTTGCTTTAAAGTTTAAACCCAGTAGAAAACAAAAATAATCAAAATCACTGTCTCTCTCGAGTCTTCCCTAGAATTACAAGTTAGACTTCGATAATCCGATTCCAATGCCGATTTTGAGGGGCCAATCAGCTACGCTCCAAATGTTCTCTTGTATACATGCTTCACGTAGGGACGTATCTACGTCATGGCTTATGGGAGCAATTGCCCCCACAAGACGAAAAAAAAAAAAAAATACATAACAACCCAAAATTTTTCAATTACCCATTTAAAAAAATTCAATTGCCTTCTGTCCTAGAAGAAAATTTTCACTTTTCCCTTCAAAAGGCCTCTCTTATCCCTTAAAAAAAAGTTAACTCAAATTTTATCTATATTTTATAATCTTAAATAAATGGAGGGAGAAATAACTTAAAAAATAAACTTCTTTAATTTTAAATCTTTTCAAAAATAATTAACATTTATTTTGTGTAATAAATTTGCCCCCACCATCTAATTTTTCTGGATCCGTCACACACACACACACACACACACACACACACACACACACACACACACAGCGTTCCTCCAAAATGTATTTGCAAATCATAATTGTAATTTTTAAATGTCTCATCTAATAATGTCCAATCATTTCTCTATTTTTTTCTGAATAATTGCCAGTGTTATACGGACGATAAATTAAGCTGGACAAAATTCGTTGGGTTAAATTCCAGTCATGCTAATCAATCAATTATTTTTTGTCAATTAATACAACCGATTGGATTAGATAAACAGTCCTAATTAAGCAACATGTGTTTTTTTGGGGTTTGATTTCATTAGCTAATGCCACGAGAAAAACCAAGCTACCTTAAGCTGTTCTTTTTTCCTTTGTATTAGAGTAGTCAACATAATTCACCCGCAGTTTTAATCTGAATTTGTTAGAATGGATTGAATCCATTCATTTGCGGTCAGTGCTAACTACATCAATTAAATCAATTCATTAATTTAATCATTTCAATTCAATTAGGTAAATATTGTCCAAACCTACCTATCTGATCCCCTACGCTATGTGCATAATGCAATGCCAATTGAATTAATTTAAAATTATTTTTATTTAATCCATGTCGAGTTTTAAATAATTATTGTTTCATTTCTTTCCATTAAGAATCAACTTAATTATTCCCACATTATTTTTCTCCATAATTGATACGCAATTTGATTATTACAATAGAAATTTTGAGGTGATATAAGAACTAATAATCATTTTTTTTTTTACCAACAAGGACTAATAATCATTGAAGGATGCTTTTATAGTATACTCTCTTTGTGCCCCTATAAAAGAGGTTTTCTAAAACATTTTTTTGCTTTTAAATAGAAGTTGTTAGCATATTTTTTAATAAATAAACTATCATACTCTTATTAAATTGGAAAGAAAAAATGATAAATATTCTTATTAATTCATTTTAAAAAAATTATTTTTTATTTGCAATAATTAATAACAAAATTAAAATATTGCTATGTTTTTAATTAGATAATCAGCTTTTATTAATTTGTATGACATGTGTTGGGTCACGAAGGCTTCTATCTCCCTTTTTCTTTTCATATTGCAGCTAATTCCCAAATTGGTTTCCTAAATTTTTCTTTATGGATATTAATTTTGTTACGAAATAATGTAATAATTTTTTAAAATCATTCGATTATGTATCAAAAGAGTAGCGTGAGAAAATGAGTCCTTTTGATAGACATACAAAATATATGTGCACTAAATTTCGATCCGAATCTGGTGAGTGTTTTAAATCTTTTCATTCAATGAATATACAAAGAAAATACTAAATCATAGCTCTACATTTTGCTATGTCAAATATCTTAATCCAACAATAGTCCATGTAATTTTCAAGAAATGATTAAAAGGCATCATCATAAAATTGCGTGCCTAAAACCCATCATTTTATTTATATTTCTAGTCAAGTAAAAATTTTCAAGCGTTGATGGAATTTTATAGTTGTAGTGTGATACTCATTGGGTGAAAATATTTGAAACACTCATACGATTTAGATTTCAATGTCTTCTCTATCAAGAGAATATGCATACACATTTTCTAATTAAATTTTCATTATTTGTATATTTAATAAAGATCAATTGCCTGACGGCAGCTATTAGCATATAGTGAGCGGAGAAATGAATGAATTTGTGAAGGCCGACATGAAGAAGACGCGTTTTTCTTTAAAACCTGCGGATCCTTTTCAGCTTTATTAGACTGTGAGAACAAGTGTGTGCGTGTTCAAACCTGATTCTATCTCCACTTGTCCATTTCATCGATCATTACAATTCATTCTTCTCTCACACATGTTCATATATATATATATATATATTACATATGTATATACGTATCACAGCAAGTGTTGTAAGCTCAATAATCAAAATCTGTTTCTTTCGTTATTCCCTGTTATATATATATATATATATGATGCTGCTTTTCTTGTGATCGATCGCACTTCCAGCTTCTCTATATATACAGTTTAAATGCATGCATGCATGAACATGATCGCTGCTATATATTCAAGCATCCGATACAGGCCAACACTTTTGTAAGTTTTTCTTTATATCTTACTATATATGTATCATGTGTAGCATATATGTATATATAGCACATTACACACATGTATATTATTCTGAAGGAAAAGTTATGCATGCATATATCTATATATCTCACACTTATATTAAACCTTTTTTTTTTTGAGCAAACCACTTATATTAAACCTAACCTCGCTCTTTAAACCACATTTTCACATTTCAGATATTCCATGGTCAATCTTCGACTTTCTATGTTTATGCTTAGTGATTTATCAGTCTGTTTCATTTGCATATAAAAGTATCAATGCTATGCTAATAAAGATTAGTCTAATTAGTAATGATTAGTTTGTCTTTTGTGAGGACTTTGTTTATTAGCGGGTAATATATATGTAACTTCATCTTGCACGTTATTTTTTTGAACTGTGGAAATTTAATCCATTTAATAGAATTGATCTAATTTTTTATCGAGAAAATATTAAAAAAAAGGAAAAGTGCTGATTACTTAATAATGCTTCAGTATGAATGCTATTGATTGAATTTATACTTACTAAATTCCATAATTAAGCTACAGGTTAACGAATGACTACACACACACACACACACACACACACACACACATTCATTTATCAGTGCATGCAACTTAAGCGGAATGCTTCTCAAGACAGACAATTCATTGGAACTAAATATATAATCATCAGGAATGGAAACATAATATATTGATCATTAACTTGAGATGCAATCATCAAATAACGGAAACAACAATTAAAACATCAAACCAAAGTGACTCATCACACAAAATAACAAACAATTAATTGTGAAGGACAACATGCATGTATTTTGTAGATTAAATTTGGGTAAAATCTTTAAGATATTTACTATCATCAGCTTTCTTGATAAAATTATGACACAGGAAATTCTTTTGAAACTCTTGAGTGTCTGTCATAATTTTATACTATTAAAATCTGATATTGCAAATATATAAAAACCGTACCTAAATTTAATTTATTATTAGCATCCAATATTCGATCGTCAACGTTTACCATCAAATTCATGATACGTCCAATTCGAATGAGGATGAGAACTAGAAGACGAAGAACCTCCAAATTGCATCGAAAACTGTAGAAGCTCTTCTTGTTCTTGTTGCTGGTGAGACATTCCAGACGAGGAAGACGAGGAAGACACAGCCGTATAAGGTTGTTGCTGGTGATCAGAAGAATGAAACATGTCTCTCCCATAAAATCCAGGCCGCACATGAGTACCATAATTCAAATTCTGGCTCGTCCCACCACTTGCCATCAGATGAAGTTGATGATGATATTGGTAATTATGATCATGATAAGGTTGTTGTGAAGAGAACGGCATCGTTGGAGGAGCAAGAGCGAGTGGTGGTTGCGTGAGGAAAGAAAATTGAGCTGAGGAAGAAGAGGAAGACGACGTCGTTGTGGAAGGTGGCTGAAGTTGAACTCTTTCGGGGAAATTGAGCTTAGCTTTGCTTCCTTTGAATCTAAGAGCGGCTTCGTCGTAGGCGAGGGCGGCGGCCTCGGCGGTGTCGAAGGTTCCGAGCCAAACTCTGGCGGCTTTCTTGGGATCTCGAATCTCAGCCGCCCATTTCCCCCATGGCCTTTGCCTCACTCCCCTGTAGTGTCTCTTCCTCGTGCTGCTTTCTTCATATATCCATCAACACACACGTAAGTACTTTCACTACCATAATATGAGTATGTCACTACTACATAAAAAGTATACGGGAGCGTTTATTGACTTATAAGAGTGCTTTCAAAACGCTTCGTATATCTAGGTGCTCTCATATGTATAGGAGTGTTTCTTTAAGTAGATTAATTATAATCTTCATGCTTCATCTACTTCTTTCTTCTGTAACTTTTTCTCTATGTATGTATTATTTAACTACACGTGTGTATGTCGTGGTTGTTTCACAAAATCTGAAGCTAGATACAAGTTGCACCGTTCATATGGCTCTATGGACACTAGAGCTATATATATATTGATTTACCCTGAACTAGTTATAGACTTCTCATATAATAGCTCAGTTCATCTATATAAAACCACACAAAGCACACACACACACACACACACAACGTATTTAGAGAGAATGAATATACAAAGTGAAGTACAATTGTAGCCTCTCATTATTTTATATCACTCCACCCCACTAAAAGAAGGGAGAAAAAATTAGATGAGTGTAGGACTAAAAAAAAAAATTAATTTGCTTACAACTAATCAAAATGCTTGAGGGATTCAACGATCGAGTAAGCTATAATGTTAAAATATTTATAGAACTTGACCTAACTTTGACCCTTTTCTTGGACACTGGTTTGCATCATTGGTGAGCTAATTGATCCATCTCTCTATTGTAGAGGAAGAGAAACAATAAGATGTAAGGGGAGAAATTTTTTTCTTTGGAAGTACTAAAATCGAAGCCTTCATTAAAGAATTAATAAACGTTGCACAAAAGATATTTTTTTTTTAAAAAAAAACTAAGTTGTATACATAAGTTTCACTTGAGTAGAAGGATCAAGGAGCAACGAAAGAACTTTCAGAAACAGAGACACGTGGATGGCTAAGGAAGACAACACCACCAACGGAGACGCAAATATGAACAGAAAATTAAAGTCATAAATAGACAGCCCTGGCCGTTAATTTCACTGCCTTTCATACTGAATCAGTGAACCTGAACGCAATTATTATATCCGCATGTGAAACATACAAATATAGTTGGTACAGGCGAATATGAACACGATATACCTTCATGTTGTTGAAATGCTTGAAGACATTGATCAGTACTGTTATGTTGAGAACCGGACTGAGACACGGCCAAGGGATGATCGTGATTGTAAGCATTAGGGGAAGCCCCAATGACTTGAGCAAGAGCAGAAACCATGGCCGACATGTCTTGCTGTGAACGATCTGAGTATATTGGGAACAAGTGATCTTCTTCTTTCTCTTGCGCTTCTTCGGATGAACCTGCTCTCTTTCCATGATTTCGATCCACTTTAGCTACACCTTATTCTTCTGATTGATTTATATTATATCTGATGATTCCCACCGATCACACATATACATGAACTTACCTCCTACATGTATATATATAACGTTTTAAGGTTGTAATCCGATTCGATGTTGTGGGATCGATCAAAAAAGCTAAAAGCGGAGAGGAAGGAAAGGAAAGCACAAGAGAAATTAAAGGAGTAGAGAGAATAGAATAAAGAAGGGAGGGGAGAAAACTAGGGTTTCGTTTTGGTGACTTTATAATGTGTCTTCGTGTGCGTGTGAACATAATCTGACTATAATGAAAGAAGAGAGGGACACGAGCTAAACAATGCAAGACAGTCTTTTTTCTTTCTTTCTTTTCTTTTAAATTTGGTCGTTTTCTTTTTCTTTTTTTCTTTCTTTCTCGGCCGTGTTTGTGTGGGACGTAGCTCTGGTCGCTTCGATAACATGGGAGATTAATGTAGTATAGTTTAGTGATAGTTGTGCTATTATTAAATTAATGATTAATTAATAAATTAAAATAAAACCCAAGGAAAGCCGAACAACATTGTATCAAAAAAAAAAAAAGACAGCCAAACAAATTGATAAATTAGAGAGCAAATGATACATCGCTCATCACTATGTCCCATTAATTATATCATACGATGATAGGAGGAAGAAAATAATAAAAATAATAATGAATGATAAAATATAGGAAAAATATAACCTTTTTTTTCTATGAACTTATTCTCATTTATTGATTTAGTTTATGATTAATTAACTCGAAACAATTCAATATCTATAGTTTTTTTTTATAGTCTTTTAACATGATATAACTCAATTCCTATAATTTCTTAAATAAATTACAAGAACTGAATTGTATTAAATTCAAATTCAAGGACTGATTGGGAGAAAGTTTAAAAATTAAAAGTTATATTGTGCCTAAAATATAAATATAAACTTATATCCTCTTGGCGATTCCCTGTACAGCAGGAGAGGGAAAGAGACACTGAGATGGGATTTTGGACACACTCATCAAGCAAGGAATAAATTAAATAGGGTTCACTTATCTCATGTCTCTTTCTCTTTCACTGATTACATGTAAAATTTTGTAGTGAACAATTACATTTTAGTTAGATTAGATTATTTATCATAGTTCATGAGTTATTGGTTCAATTTTTTTTCACTTAAAGCAACACATGTATAACAATGAACAACAAATCAAAATGTTGTAAGCTGGGAAAACCAGGAGCGACGGGGCTAAGTATATATAAAAGGGGGTCCATTATTGTTAAACAAGGTCGGAAGTTCGAGCATCAAAATGCTTTTAAAAAATCATGTCAATAAAGTTACCTTTAATTCAGACAATGTTTAAATTTGACCCGATAAACATATAAGTTGAAAAAGAATATATTCTTAATTAAATTATTTATTATTTGACTATTTAATCATAAATAAATTGACATCAAAATTATATTGATATTCAAATGTCCAATTATTATTTCATGTTTGAATCCATGTAAATATATAAAACATGTTTGGGAGAGCTATCTTGATCAAGGCCGATAATACTCTATCTTGGATTAAGTTTAACAAAATCGATTTGAATTTGATTCAATGGTGTTGAATATTATATACCTATGGAAAAAATAAATGTTATTATGTGGACCAACAAAACAATATACTCCCTTTGGACTACAATATATAAGGCATTTGTAATTTTTTATTTATCAATAAACATTGTTGACTACTTTACGGATTTTTTTTAATAAAAGTTAGGTGAAACCAAAATTTCTCAAAAAAATTTACATATTTATAATTATACACTCATTAAATATTTTATATAAGTACTTTAAAATAATGATAATTGAAATTCTAATGGATCATATATTCAAAAAAATAATAATTAATAAAATAAAGATATGGTTGAAAAAATAATTATAAAAATGACCTAATATTTTATATTTTAAATCAAATATGACTTCTAGAACAACATATATTGTAATTGGAGAGGCGCATAACAAATTCACAATGACTACTAATTCAAGTGGGGTCATGGGATTTGGATTGTCTAAATATTAAAGGAGGGAATGAATAATCAATTATACTTATTTGTAGAGTCAGTAATTTAAGGGGGTTGGTTTTATTCAGATCAGGCTTAAAGTATTCTATTATTTTAAAAAAGTCCATATAGTCAAATTCGGCCCTGACTTTTTTTAGCCAGATTTGCACTAATCTGTTAGGCTTAACCAAAATTACCTACTTTACATATATATAAAGCCAAAAATTTTAAGAGTAAGGCTTTTTCAAGTCAGGCTCAATTCGACTTGAGTTTAAAGTATCATACCTCCTTAAAAAGTTTATATAGCTAAGCTCAATCCTAACTCTTTTTTTGGCGGGTTCGAGCTAACCTATTGAGTTTGGCCTGAATTATCAGCTTTACTCATTTAATGATCGGTTGGAATTTTTATAATTTGCTATTCGCTCTTGTCTATTCCAGTCAATTTCCCTCTTCTCTCATAGTAAATTTGAGTGCCACATTCAGTCCTCAAATGTGTCAGTCAATTTGATTGTACGTTATGAGATGAAAATTAAAAGCATACATTACAAAGCATCCGGTGATTTTTTACACCCCTTCGCCCCCCCAAAAAAAAGAGGGAATGGCATTAAGGGCCTTAAAAAAAGATTTTATTACAATTTAGGCCTAAATGAATTTGATATTTGTCTGCAAGCCTTAAGGCCCTTATTGCCAATTTTCTTGAGACCAAAAGTATGACTTTGTCCTTTATTTAATTTGAATTTAGAATCTATGTGAACTCTCAAAACAACAAAATAGACCATGCACGATATAACATTTACTATATACAAGACAATGTCCACGCATTTCAACAAAAAATCCATGTATTTTAAGTATTTTACTAGCCTTGGCTTTACCAAAAATAACTAGATAGACCATGCACGACACAATATCTACTATGCATAATACGATATCCACATGTGCTGAACAAAAAATTCATACATTTTCAATATTTTACTAGCTTAGACTATAACAAAATGATGTTAGACAAACCATGCATGACACAACATTCACTATACACAAGATGATTTTCACGCATGCTCAACAGAAAGTCTATGCATTTCTAGTATTAAGAAGGACAATTACATCATATATGAATAATTTCATGTTGGTATTAGCCTAGGTACTAAAACAAGAACCCATATAAAATTTAATACAATATTTTAAATCTGATATATACAAAAAGTTAGCCACTATATCCAAAATATCTAACAATTGCTTCTACATATACAAATAAAAAATATTTGTGATTCCCACTTACTCAAAAAATATTATTTAAAAATGCTTTCATATACATGATTATAGTTGCTTGTATACACCAAAAAAGTATAATGCAATCACTTCTCATGCTGGGTTAAGATTCTTGCATGTCTTGCGACTGTGTCTGGCCTTCTCATATCTTGAATAATGATAAATCTTTTTATTTTAGAAGACTCTATCCTCCTTATTCGTGGCCTCTCGGGAGGACGGCTAGTTAAAGACAGTTGCAAAAAAAAAGTTTGTAATATATTTTCACCTGTAAGTTCATGTGATTTCAATTTATCATTATGCTAGACTTAACAAAATATTGAAGTTAGGCAAATAATGTATAATACAATATTCACTATACACAATATAATGTTCATTTATTCTGAATTAAAAGTCCATAAGATTCTACTTTATCAGTAAGCTAGGCTTGGCAAAATGCACAAGTAAGCAAATAATGCACAACACAATATTCATGATGCACAACATAAGGTTCATATATTCTCAACTAAAAGTCTATACGATTCTACATTATCAGTAGGTTAGGCTTAATAAAATGCACAAATAGGCAGACAATGCACAACACAATACCCTCTATGCACAACTCAAGATTCATATATTTTGAACTAAAAGTTCATACGATTCTACTTTATCAGTAGGCTAGGCTTAACAAAATGCACAAATAGGCAAACAATGCATAACATAATATCTATTATGCACAATATAAGGTTCATTTATTCTTAACTAAAAGTTCATAAGGTTCTACTTTATCAGTAAAATACAGATGTAAGCAAACAATGCACAACACAATATCCTCGATGCACAACTTAAGGTTTATATATTCTCAATTGAAAGTCCATATACGTCCAGTTTATCAGTTGGCTAGGCTTAACAAAAAAATTTTCAAATTTATGAACAATAAAAAGTCTATAAATAACATAACAAGGTCCATTTATTAACAATACAATGTCCATCTATTTCACATGATTTGTGTGACTAAACTGAACATTTAAAAAAGTTTCTCAAGTTAATAAAGAACAAAAGGTCCTTATATAACATGAAAATATCTATTTGCTAACAACACAATGTCATATATTTATAATACAAGGTTTGTTGATATGATACACATAAATATCCGCACAAGTTAATTGCAAAGTTTGCACAACGTAAACTCCATAAATAACAATATAAATTTCATAAACAACATCTACACCAGAATATTTAAATCAGTTGCAAAAAAATATGTATCAGAAACAACAAAAAGTCCATAAATAACAACTTGTTTTCATTAAATGAACGTGAACGCGTACATTATGATTAGATAAAATTGATATGGCTCAAACTCTCTCTATATCCTTTTTTTGACAAAATAAAACTGATAATGGCAGATGCAGCACTTGATCCATTCTTTCCACACTATGGCGAATCATTTCAAGAAGTTGGTTAGCGTGAGAGGAATGTAATCGGATGAACCTTGATCGTCTTTTCCATACCTATCTGGATAAAAAAAACACCCACTCATACCCGTTGAATGAAAAAGTTTCAAATGAAAGAAAGAAGGAAGAAGGAGGAAGAAGAAGAGATGGAATAGAGAAGCATGATGGGGAGGAAAATGAATTTAGTTATTGTATCAGTATTGTCAGAGGAAGAGAAAGAAGGACGAGGGAGGAAGAACGGAGGAAGAAGAAGCTGATTATGGGAGGGACAAATTAGTCATTTCATCAAAAAATATAATTGCAAATGAGCCTTTAGGCCTTCAGAATAATTTCAGAATCTATTAGGCCTTATTTGCAAAATTCTTGCTACTTAGGGCCCTTAATGCCATTCTCCCAAAAAAAAGGTGACATGTGTCATGCTAGGAAAGAGTGAATAACTGATAGTTGAATGCAAACACAATTTAGATTTCAGATCTGTTACATGATGTTAAGTTTTCAATTATAATTAGGCACTTAATAATAATCAT